CAATTCCATAGGCTGTTCTACTTCTTGAACAAACACTGTGAAATTCAAATTTAAAAGTGTGTTGTGAACTTAAAAATGAAAATTTTAAAAATGAAAAATGTCAATATAAGCATAAAGCAGCATTTTGTTCCATGTTATGGTTCTATAACACAGAACAGGATTCGAGACAAATAATCAAATAATCATATAGCGTGTTATTTATTTTCTCTGCAATCCTGCTAACGTGCGTTATTCATTTTGTCTGCAATCCTGTTCTGCGTTATAGGACCATAACACGGAACAGAATGCTGTTTTATGCTTAATTAAATGCAATGTGCCACATTCTAACACAATTCCTACCTCTTCAACAAAATGTTTACTTATTTTTAACACAAACGATTAAAAAAATTCAATGCCGAATTTATAGTGTATAGCATGTTTGACGAGTTTTGAGACAATTTGGTTAATGTTTTGACACAATTTTAACAAAATTAACACAAATGTGTTTATTAACACACAAATGTATTTATTAACACAATAGATTTTTCAACCAAAAATTTAGACTGCTTGCAGTTGTTTTGATTCTGTTTTTTTTTTTTTTTTTTTTTTTTTTTTTTTTTTTTTTTTTTGGNATTTTGGTATTGTTTTGATGTTTTTTACATAAAAGTTTTAGTTTTTATCACCATTTGAACATTTTTTTCTTTATTTTTTAACAAAATGTTAACGAGGCAACACCCATTGTTTATACAAAATTGAGTCACTTTCCCCAAGGAAGCTCCAGACCAGATTTAGTATAAATCCCACTATTCCCCTATTGGACCCCCACTCCTCTGCCCCTAGGGGGGCACACCTTCTGTTGAGAAACCTTTGGTGTAGGATGCTACGCACTAAATTTGGTCTAACTCCACTGACCCGTTAAATTTGGTCTAACTCCACTGACCCATTAAATTTGGTCTAACTCCACTGACCCGTTAAGGACAAGCGGCATTTAAAAGGGGAAGTTGATGGTTGGACGATGTACACTCCGTTATGGGCAGAAGGAAGATAAAAACAGTCTGTAATGAATTTGAAGAGGACCACTCAATTTATTTCAAACAATACAAGCATGTTTTTGTAAACACAGGTGTACACATATATAAATGCATTTTCACATGTTTTCTTTTCTCCTCATAGAAATTGATATTCAGACAATTGAATAACTTAAAAAGAAGTTTTTTTTCTCCCTAAAGAATCTAAAATAATAGCTTAGGTTCAAAAATCTTACCTTTGAAGTTTGACATCACTAGACTACAGCAAAAAATACATTCTCTTATTAAAATCATCAAACTTTCAAACAAGAACATACTTCTGACATCATCAGACATTTGATATTTACCATTGTATATAGTTAACATTACTTAGTAAACTAGAGAGTCTTGTGGCTATCTAGTTTATATCACTTAGTATACTGATGAGTCTAGTGGCTATCTAGTTTACATCACGAAGTATACTGGTGAGCCTTGTGGCTATCTAGTTTACATCACTTAGTATACTGATGAGTCTAGTGGCTATCTAGTTTACATCACTTAGTATACTAGTGAGTCTAGTGGCTATCTAGTTTACATCACTTTGTATACTGATGAGCCTTGTGGCTATCTAGTTTACATCACTTAGTATACTAGCGAGTCTAGTGGCTATCTAGTTTACATCACTTTGTATACTGATGAGCCTTGTGGCTATCTAGTTAACATCACTTAGTATACTGGTGAGCCTTGTGGCTATCTAGTTTACATCACTTAGTATACTAGTGAGTCTTGTGGCTATCTAGTTTACATCACTTAGTATACTGTTAAGCCTTGTGGCTATCTAGTTTACATCACTTAGTATACTGGTGAGCCTTGTGGCTATCTAGTTTATATCGCTAAGTATACTGGTGAGCCTTGTGGCTATCTAGTTTAAATCACGTAGTATACTGATGAGTCTTGTGGCTATCTAGTTTACATCACTTAGTATACTGATGAGTCTTGTGGCTATCTAGTTTACATCACTTTGTATACTGATGAGCCTTTTGGCTATCTAGTTTACATCACTTAGGATACTGATGAGCCTTGTGGCTATCTAGTTTACATCACTTAGTATACTAGTGAGTCTTGTGGCTTTCTAGTTTACATCACTTAGTATACTGTTGAGCCTTGTGGCTATCTAGTTTACATCACTTAGTATACGGTTGAGCCTTGTGGCTATCTAGTTTACATCAGTATACTACGTGATGTAAACTAGATAGCGACAACGCTCACCAGTATACTTAGCGATATAAACTAGATAGCCACAAGGCTCACCATGGTGAGCCTTGTGGCTATCTAGTTTATATCGCTAAGTATACTGGTGAGCGTTGTGGCTATCTAGTTTACATCACGTAGTATACTGATGAGTCTTGTGGCTATCTAGTTTACATCACTTTGTATACTGATGAGCCTTTTGGCTATCTAGTTTACATCACTTAGGATACTGATGAGCCTCTTAGTATACTGATGAGCCTTGTGGCTATCTAGTTTACATCACTTAGTATACTGATGAGTCTTGTGGCTATCTAGTTTACATCACTTTGTATACTGATGAGCCTTTTGGCTATCTAGTTTACATCACTTAGGATACTGATGAGCCTCTTAGTATACTGATGAGCCTTGTGGCTATCTAGTTTACATCACTTAGAATACTGATGAGTCTTGTGGCTATCTAGTTTACATAACTTAGTATACTGTTAAGCCTTGTGGCTATCTAGTTTACATCACTTAGTTTACTGATGAGCCTTGTGGCTATCTAGTTTACATCACTTAGAATACTGATGAGTCTTGTGGCTATCTAGTTTACAACACTTTGTATACTGATGAGCCTTTTGGCTATCTAGTTTACATCACTTAGGATACTGATGAGCCTCTTAGTATACTGATGAGCCTTGTGGCTATCTAGTGTACATCACTTAGTACACTGATGAGCCTTGTGGCTATCTAGTTTACATCACTTAGGATACTGATGAGCCTTGTGGCTCTCTAGTTTACATCACTTAGTATACTGATGAGTCTTGTCTTAGTATACTAGTGAGTCTTGTGGCTATCTAGTTTACATAACTTAGTATACTGTTAAGCCTTGTGGCTATCTAGTTTACATCACTTAGTATACTGGTGATCCTTGTGGCTATCTAGTTTACATCACTTAGTATACTAATGAGCCTTGTGGCTATCTAGTTTACATCACTTAGAATACTGATGAGTCTTGTGGCTATCTAGTTTACAACACTTTGTATACTGATGAGCCTTTTGGCTATCTAGTTTACATCACTTAGGATACTGATGAGCCTTGTGGCTCTCTAGTTTACATCACTTAGTATACTGATGAGTCTTGTGGCTATCTAGTTTACAACACTTTGTATACTGATGAGCCTTTTGGCTATCTAGTTTACATCACTTAGGATACTGATGAGCCTTGTGGCTATCTAGTTTACATCACTTAGGATACTGATGAGCCTCTTAGTATACTGATGAGCCTTGTGGCTATCTAGTTTACATCACTTAGTATACTAGTGAGTCTTGTGGCTATCTAGTTTACATCACTTAGGATACTGATGAGCCTTGTGGCTATCTAGTTTACATCACTTAGTATACTGATGGTTTAGTGGTTTCCATTAATACAGTAAACATGTCTACAATTTATCAGAACATTAATACCTGCAAACATTTCAATGATACATTAGTTGGTGACATACAAAGTTGAGCAATCTTCTTCAAAACAATGTTTTTATGAGGAACCTTTTGTTGTGCACTTTCAATTTCCTATAACTTTCCTGAGTGCTTCCTCTATGTATGCTGTAACTTTTGTTGTATTTGGGAGTGCTATACATTTGTGTTGTATTTGCTGTGTGCTGTAACTTTTGTTGTATTTGGGAGTGCTATACATTTCTGATGTATTTGCTGTGTGCTGTAACTTTTGTTGTATTTGGGAGTGCTATACATTTCTGATGTATTTGCTGTGTGCTGTAACTTTTGTTGTATTTGTGAGTGCTATACATATCTGATGTATTTGCTGTGTGCTGTAACTTTTGTTGTATTTGGGAGGGCTATACATTTCTGATGTATTTGCTTTGCACTGTAACTTTTTGTTGTATTTGCGAGTGCTATACATTTCTGATGTATTTGCTGTGCACTGTAACTTTTTGTTGTATTTGCGAGTGCTATACATTTCTGATGGATTTGCTGTGTGATGTAACTTTTGTTGTATTTGGGAGTGCTATACCATTTCTGATGTATTTGCTTTGCACTGTAACTTTTTGTTGTATTTGCGAGTGCTATACATTTCTGATGTATTTGCTGTGTGAGGTAACTTTTGTTGTATTTGGGAGTGCTATACAATTCTGATGTATTTGCTGTGTGCTGTAATTTTTGTTGTATTTGGGAGTGCTATACATTTCTGATGTATTTGCAGTGTGCTGTAACTTTTGTTGTATTTGGGAGTGCTATACATATCTGATGTATTTGCTGTGTGCTGTAACTTTTGTTGTATTTGGGAGTGCTATACATTTCTGATGTATTTGGTGTGTGCTGTAACTTTTGTTGTATTTGGGAGTGCTATACATATCTGTTGTATTTGCTGTGTGCTGTAACTTTTGTTGTATTTGGGAGTGCTATACATATCTGTTGTATTTGCTGTGTGCTGTAACTTTTGTTGTATTTGGGAGTGCTATACATTTCTGATGTATTTGCTGTGCACTGTAACTTTTTGTTGTATTTGGGAGTGCTATACATTTCTGATGTATTTGCTGAGTGCTGTAACTTTTGTTGGATTTGGGAGTGCTATACGTTTCTGATGTATTTGCTGTGGGACGTAACTTTTGTTGTATTTGGGGGTGCTATACATTTCTGATGGATTTGCCGTGTGCTGTAACTTTTGGTGTATTTGGGAGTGCTATGCATTTCTGATGTATTTGAAGTGTGATGTAACTTTTGTTGTATTTGGGAATGCTATACATTTCTGATGGATTTGCCGTGTGCTGTAACTTTTGGTGTATTTGGGAGTGCTATACATTTCTGTTGTATTTGCAGTGTGCTGTAACTTTTGTTGTATTTGGGAGTGCTATTAATTTCAGATGTATTTGGCGTGTACTTAACTTTTTGGTGGATTTGCAGAGTGCTATAAATTTCTGATGTATTTGCTGTGTAGTGTATCTTTTTGGTGTATTTAATTGTCAGATTTATTGATAAACAATAGTTCTGATACTTAGTATATCAATCACAGAATTTCTCTTTACTTCTGGTAATAGAACTCTATCCACACATTTTCTCCTTACTTAATAAATATGAGACAAACAATGCTACAATCGAACTACACCAGATATTTGACCCTACATACAGATTCTTATAAGGAGAGTAGTAAAATAGGGTCTGATTTTGTTAAGACTGACATTTCTACTACATTAATTTCCAAACCATCCTGATTAAGACTTTTGCTCAGGTATGGCTGGCACTTTGTTCACTGATGGTAAGGTGGCATGTCCTTCGTGTCTCTGGACAGTGTTCTTCATCCGATTGTACCAAGGTTTTATTCTTGTCCTTTCCAAAGTATCCTTGAATGCATCACATCCCTCTATAGAGCTGAGAACGCCATATACAGACTGTAAATAGAAACAACAGAATACAGGTTCACCCTCCCTCTATAGAGCTGAGAACGCCATATACAGACTGTAAATAGAAACAACACAATACAGGTTCACCCTCCCTCTATAGAACTGAGTACACTGTACACAGACTGTAAATAGAAACAACACAATACAGGTTCACCCTCCCTCTATAGAACTGAGTACACTGTACACAGACTGTAAATAGAAACAACACAATACAGGTTCACCCTCCCTCTATAGAACTGAGTACACTGTACACAGACTGTAAATAGAAACAACACAATACAGGTTCACCCTCCCTCTATAGAACTGAGTACACTGTACACAGACTGTAAATAGAAACAACACAATACAGGTTCACCCTCCCTCTATAGAACTGAGTACACTGTACACAGACTGTAAATAGAAACAACACAATACAGGTTCACCCTCCCTCTATAGAACTGAGTACACTGTACACAGACTGTAAATAGAAACAACACAATACAGGTTCACCCTCCCTCTATAGAACTGAGTACACTGTACACAGACTGTAAATAGAAACAACACAATACAGGTTCACCCTCCCTCTATAGAACTGAGTACACTGTACACAGACTGTAAATAGAAACAACACAATACAGGTTCACCCTCCCTCTATAGAACTGAGTACACTGTACACAGACTGTAAATAGAAACAACACAATACAGGTTCACCCTCCCTCTATAGAACTGAGTACACTGTACACAGACTGTAAATAGAAACAACACAATACAGGTTCACCCTCCCTCTATAGAACTGAGTACACTGTACACAGACTGTAAATAGAAACAACACAATACAGGTTCACCCTCCCTCTATAGAACTGAGTACACTGTACACAGACTGTAAATAGAAACAACACAATACAGGTTCACCCTCCCTCTATAGAACTGAGTACACTGTACACAGACTGTAAATAGAAACAACACAATACAGGTTCACCCTCCCTCTATAGAACTGAGTACACTGTACACAGACTGTAAATAGAAACAACACAATACAGGTTCACCCTCCCTCTATAGAACTGAGTACACTGTACACAGACTGTAAATAGAAACAACACAATACAGGTTCACCCTCCCTCTATAGAACTGAGTACACTGTACACAGACTGTAAATAGAAACAACACAATACAGGTTCACCCTCCCTCTATAGAACTGAGTACACTGTACACAGACTGTAAATAGAAACAACACAATACAGGTTCACCCTCCCTCTATAGAACTGAGTACACTGTACACAGACTGTAAATAGAAACAACACAATACAGGTTCACCCTCCCTCTATAGAACTGAGTACACTGTACACAGACTGTAAATAGAAACAACACAATACAGGTTCACCCTCCCTCTATAGAACTGAGTACACTGTACACAGACTGTAAATAGAAACAACACAATACAGGTTCACCCTCCCTCTATAGAACTGAGTACACTGTACACAGACTGTAAATAGAAACAACACAATACAGGTTCACCCTCCCTCTATAGAACTGAGTACACTGTACACAGACTGTAAATAGAAACAACACAATACAGGTTCACCCTCCCTCTATAGAACTGAGTACACTGTACACAGACTGTAAATAGAAACAACACAATACAGGTTCACCCTCCCTCTATAGAACTGAGTACACTGTACACAGACTGTAAATAGAAACAACACAATACAGGTTCACCCTCCCTCTATAGAACTGAGTACACTGTACACAGACTGTAAATAGAAACAACACAATACAGGTTCACCCTCCCTCTATAGAACTGAGTACACTGTACACAGACTGTAAATAGAAACAACACAATACAGGTTCACCCTCCCTCTATAGAACTGAGTACACTGTACACAGACTGTAAATAGAAACAACACAATACAGGTTCACCCTCCCTCTATAGAACTGAGTACACTGTACACAGACTGTAAATAGAAACAACACAATACAGGTTCACCCTCCCTCTATAGAACTGAGTACACTGTACACAGACTGTAAATAGAAACAACACAATACAGGTTCACCCTCCCTCTATAGAACTGAGTACACTGTACACAGACTGTAAATAGAAACAACACAATACAGGTTCACCCTCCCTCTATAGAACTGAGTACACTGTACACAGACTGTAAATAGAAACAACACAATACAGGTTCACCCTCCCTCTATAGAACTGAGTACACTGTACACAGACTGTAAATAGAAACAACACAATACAGGTTCACCCTCCCTCTATAGAACTGAGTACACTGTACACAGACTGTAAATAGAAACAACACAATACAGGTTCACCCTCCCTCTATAGAACTGAGTACACTGTACACAGACTGTAAATAGAAACAACACAATACAGGTTCACCCTCCCTCTATAGAACTGAGTACACTGTACACAGACTGTAAATAGAAACAACACAATACAGGTTCACCCTCCCTCTATAGAACTGAGTACACTGTACACAGACTGTAAATAGAAACAACACAATACAGGTTCACCCTCCCTCTATAGAACTGAGTACACTGTACACAGACTGTAAATAGAAACAACACAATACAGGTTCACCCTCCCTCTATAGAACTGAGTACACTGTACACAGACTGTAAATAGAAACAACACAATACAGGTTCACCCTCCCTCTATAGAACTGAGTACACTGTACACAGACTGTAAATAGAAACAACACAATACAGGTTCACCCTCCCTCTATAGAACTGAGTACACTGTACACAGACTGTAAATAGAAACAACACAATACAGGTTCACCCTCCCTCTATAGAACTGAGTACACTGTACACAGACTGTAAATAGAAACAACACAATACAGGTTCACCCTCCCTCTATAGAACTGAGTACACTGTACACAGACTGTAAATAGAAACAACACAATACAGGTTCACCCTCCCTCTATAGAACTGAGTACACTGTACACAGACTGTAAATAGAAACAACACAATACAGGTTCACCCTCCCTCTATAGAACTGAGTACACTGTACACAGACTGTAAATAGAAACAACACAATACAGGTTCACCCTCCCTCTATAGAACTGAGTACACTGTACACAGACTGTAAATAGAAACAACACAATACAGGTTCACCCTCCCTCTATAGAACTGAGTACACTGTACACAGACTGTAAATAGAAACAACACAATACAGGTTCACCCTCCCTCTATAGAACTGAGTACACTGTACACAGACTGTAAATAGAAACAACACAATACAGGTTCACCCTCCCTCTATAGAACTGAGTACACTGTACACAGACTGTAAATAGAAACAACACAATACAGGTTCACCCTCCCTCTATAGAACTGAGTACACTGTACACAGACTGTAAATAGAAACAACACAATACAGGTTCACCCTCCCTCTATAGAACTGAGTACACTGTACACAGACTGTAAATAGAAACAACACAATACAGGTTCACCCTCCCTCTATAGAACTGAGTACACTGTACACAGACTGTAAATAGAAACAACACAATACAGGTTCACCCTCCCTCTATAGAACTGAGTACACTGTACACAGACTGTAAATAGAAACAACACAATACAGGTTCACCCTCCCTCTATAGAACTGAGTACACTGTACACAGACTGTAAATAGAAACAACACAATACAGGTTCACCCTCCCTCTATAGAGCTGAGTACACTGTACACAGACTGTAAATAGAAACAACACAATACAGGTTCACCCTCCCTCTATAGAACTGAGTACACTGTACACAGACTGTAAATAGAAACAACAGAATACAGGTTCACCCTCCCTCTATAGAGCTTAGAACGACATATACAGACTGTAAATAGAAACACAATGCCTGTTTGCAACTTAATGTTCCCACACTGTAAACATTGTTTTAACTTCACACTGTCATTTCGTCATTCCTGCTTACAACTTTGTGTATTTCTCTATCTAATTGACAGGGTTCTGAGTAGGAGAAAATGATGATCAAATCTCATGACCTTACCAAACTTTTAGATTTTGATATTATGCATAGTTTTGTGTCGTAAATAAGATGATTAAATATATTTACCAAGTCAGCCAGGTTTGGTCTATCTCCTCCAAGGAACTTCCTTTTCCTGCCTATAGCCTTCACCCACACATCACACTCATTGTACAGAGACATCCGCACATCATCATGAAGGTTATACCTGAACAAAAACATCATTGTGTAGGTTATACCTGAACAAAAACATCATTGTATAGGTAATACCTGAACAAAAATTCATTGTGTTGGTTATACCTGATCAAAAACATCATTGTGTTCATTATACCTTAACAAAAACATTATTATGTAGGTTATACCTGAACAAAAACATCATTGTGTAGGTTATACCTGAACAAAAAAATCATTGTGTAGGTTATACCTGAACAAAAACATCATTGTGTAGATTATACCTGAACAAAAACATCATTGTGTTGGTTATACATGAACAAAAACATCATTGTGTTGGTTATACCTGGTCAAAAACATCATTGTGTTCATTATACCTGAACGAAAACATCATTGTATAGGTTATACCTGAACAAAAACATCATTGTGTAGATTATACCTGAACAAAAACATCATTGTGTTGGTTACACCTGATCAAAAACATCATTGTGTTCATTATACCTGAACAAAAACATCATTGTATAGGTTATACCTGAACAAAGACATCATTGTGTTGGTTATACCTGATCAAAAACATCATTGTGTTCATTATACCTGAACAAAAACATCATTGTGTAGGTTATACCTGAACAAAAACATGGAAAGAACTATCATCAGTGATACAGGTAAAGCACCAATAGATATAACTGAAGTCTGATCTTGGTGGAGTAACACAGTAGTAGTAACGTGTGACTTGGTTACCTATGAATTTAGCGAATGAATGATTTATCACGTCACTATATCTGAATGAAACAGAAATAAGTCAACGAAACAAAAATGTTGATATACCGACAGAAAGATAAAATGACACTTTATTACCATATCTATAATAAGTTAGTTGATCTTACCTCTTTTTCAGAAGTTTTCCAAGGAAGTACATGGCTGTAGCTCCTGTGTAAATAACAAATATTCTCATAGGGAAGCTGAACACCTGTTCCCACTCGCCCACCTGAGAGAAGTATTGGAAGGCCTGGATGGCTTCTGAGGGTGTTCTGTACACATTGGGGGATAACACATGGACTAAGGTTTTGTCTGTCCAGGCTCGCCATGTCCTTTCTTCTCTGAAAAATTAAGAAACAGGAATCATGGCATTTCTTCTGTGGCAGTCAGCATACCCACACAACATACAAAGCATCAGAAGATTATGTTATCTGAACTTATATCTGTCAATAAAGCAGAGAGTCTTATGATACAAAGTAACAGTATTCATTTATCAGAAATGATACTTTCAAACCGTTTTTTTCCTACAACAGTAGTTCCCTTTAAACAGATATTCAGTACATTGAATCTTGTTAATATAGCCAAGGTTCACAATCAATATATATATTGAGAAATTTCTTGTTCTGAGAAGAAGCTTTTTAACAACAGGCCCAGAGGGCCTGTATTGCTCATCCTGATATTCAAGCAGTCACAGTAAAATATTCTCATTAAATATTATACTATACTACAAATATTTCCAAGTATTGGCTCTGTCTCTCAGCAGCACCCTCACCTTATAGGGTCTCATCCCTTTGTCCCCATTGGGGTGGGGGAATGGTTTATACAACATTGAAACATATTGGCCCAAGAAAACTCTATATCAAATAAGATTTATATAAAGCTATATGATAAAAATCCTTACCTATGACTCTTGATTATTCAAAACAACCCGTTACAAGATTTTACCACATTTTACGACAGTGACCTTGAAAGTCTAACAAAGTCATTCAGTTGAAAAAGCTTGGAAGTCCTTAATCCAAATACCATCACCCTATGGCTCTTAGTTACTGAAAAGAGTCATTTAAATATGTTAACACATTTGATTCCTGTGACCTTGAAAGGAAGTAAAGGTCATTTTCTTTCGCAAACTTTATTGAGCTCAATTTTTGACCTCTGTGACCTTGAAAGTAGGTTCAGGTTATTTTTATTTGCAAACTTTTTTCAGACTCCAACCCAGGAAGCTACCAGCCAAACATTATAATTGTTCTATTACTTTAAGTTCTTCTTCAGAAGTCATTTAATTGTTTGACATATTTGACCTTTTTGACCTTGACAGTACGTCAAGGTCATTTTTATTTGCAAAAATTGTCAGGCTCTAACTGAAAAAGCCATCAGTCAAATATTATGATTCTATCCCTTTAAGTTATTCAGAAGAAGTTGTATGATGTGTTTAACATATTTGACCCCTGCGACCTTGACAGTAGGTCAAGGTCATTTTCATTCTCAAAATTTGTTGTGTTCAATCCCAAGAAACTGCCAGTCAAATATCAAGATTCTATACATTTCAGTTCTTCTTCAGAAGTGGTTTAAATATAAATGTTAGACTTATTTCACCCCTGTGACCTTGAAAGTAGGTCAAGGTCAAACTTTGTTGGGCTCTTATATAATCACCAAGGAAGCTTTCAGCAAATTATCTTGACTCTAGGCCTGTCCATTCTTCAGAAGAAATCGTTTAAAGGAAAAGTTGACGGACGACAGACGACGTGCCATGACAGAAGCTCACTAGCCCTTCAGGCAGATGAGCTAAAAACTGTTTTCTTCAAACAATGTGATAAATTGTCTATATATATAAATACGTGATATTCAGATTAATCTACAATATGCAGAATTTAGAAAATGAAAGTTAAATTCATATTTAAGAATATTTGGTTTAAGACTGTGCTGTAAGTGTGAGGCCTGGTTCAATTGTAAACATCTGATACAGGTCACCTACAGCTGTTGGTCTGTTGTCTTGCCATCCGAAGCATTTTCTTGGTACATGACGTAGTATTTGTTTGCAAAATCATTGACAGTTTTCTTTTTTATTTCATCAAAGACTTCAACTTCAGGATAAAAGGAGTTGATAAGGCTTATGGTTTGTGTGGCATCCACAAGGTGGGAATAGAGAATACTCATCACAACAGATGAATCATTCAGTTGCTATGGAAACAAAAACAAACAGGTGTAAGTAATCAGGTATATAATGAAACCTTCATTCAATTATTGTTGCTCACTCCCCTTTTCATACTGACCAGTTGGGTTATTCCAAAGTATAATAGTTAATACTAAAATAAATACAATGACTGGTTTTGATTCATAACCTTTATTTGTGTGAGATGGGTAGTGCATTTTGTAAGATGTATACTTGTGAGAGATTGGTAGTACATTTTGTAAGATGGGTATTTGTGCGAGATGGGTAGTGCATTTTGTAAGATGGGTATTTGTGTGAGATGGGTAGTACATTTTGTAAGATGTATATTTGTGAGAGATGGGTAGTACATTTTGTAAGATGTATATTTGTGCGAGATGGGTAGTGCATTTTGTAAGATGGGTATTTGTGTGAGATGGGTATATGTAGTACATTTTGTAAGATGTATATTTGTGTGAGATGGGTAGTACATTTTGTAAGATGTATACTTGTGTGAGATGGGTAGTGCATTTTGTAAGATGTATACTTGTGTGAGATAGGTAGTACATTTTGTAAGATGTATACTTGTGTGAGATGGGTAGTACATTTTGTAAGATGGGTATTTGTGAGAGATAGGTAGTACATTTTGTAAGATGTATACTTGTGTGAGATGGGTAGTACATTTTGTAAGATGTATATTTGTGAGAGATGGGTAGTACATTTTGTAAGATGTATATTTGTGTGAGATGGGTAGTACATTTTGTAAGATGTATACTTGTGTGAGATGGGTAGTACATTTTGTAAGATGTATATTTGTGTGAGATGGGTAGTACATTTTGTAAGATGTATACTTGTGAGAGATGGGTAGTACATTTTGTAAGATGTATACTTGTGAGAGATGGGTAGTACATTTTGTAAGATGTATATTTGTGAGAGATGGGTAGTACATTTTGTAAGATGTATATTTGTGAGAGATGGGTAGTACATTTTGTAAGATGTATATTTGTGAGAGATGGGTAGTACATTTTGTAAGATGTATACTTGTGAGAGATGGGTAGTACATTTTGTAAGATGTATACTTGTGAGAGATGGGTAGTACATTTTGTAAGATGTATATTTGTAAAAGATGGGTAGTACATTTTGTAAGATGGGTATTTATGCAGATGGATTATGCTTTTTGTAAGATGTGTATTTGTCAGATGACTGTTGATTTATGATATCAAAGTATATTTGTGAGATGACAGTTGATTTATGATATTAAAGTCTATTTGTGAGATGACAGTTGATTTATGATATTAAAGTATATTTGTGAGATGCATTATAATATATTTCGAAAATGTCAAGTTTTGTGTTGATTACTATTGATTACTTAAAGTTAGCACAGCAAATCATCTGCAAATTTATGGATTTTATTTATTTATTTGTTTACACATGTTTAGGATTTTTTCATTTATCCACATCATCACCAATAAATACAACTTGAAAACAATACTGATAATCATCATGAAACCACTTATTTTTCTACTGGCTGATATATGTAAGACTGATATTAGACTTTAAGAACTTACAATTTGTTCCTCTTTGCCCTCTGCCTGGTACGCAAGTATTGGAACTTTCTTGTACTTTGACCATTTGATCTCTGACCTAAACACAGAGTTCACCTCCACCACATCATACGATAATCCATAATAGTCCAGCAGAGCACGAAGCTTACAGCAAAACGGACACGTTTGATACTGGTACAGGATCAACTTCATCCCACTTTTATCAGTCGGAATTCGGATCTAAAAATATAACATGAACATGTTCAAAAATGGTTGGTTATAAAATCTCCCTTGGTTGGTTATAAAACTCCCTTATGTCTTTTTTTGGGCAAATATTGTAAAACATGATTAACTTTTTATCTTTACTTACATATTTACTTCTAAAAGAATCGGCAGAGTGCAAGTTGTCACAAGAACGGCAATGGTATCACAACTTTACATGACATTCTATAACTGAGATAGGTTTACAATATACTACATCCACAAAATGATATCAAAATTAACTTTCCTACTAATAACATTAAATTACATGATGTATCAATATCATAATGGGCATACCACTATTTCAGGTTGATAACTTCATACATCAACAATGTGTATAAATATGTTTTAAAGGGATTTCTTGTGTGGCAGATTTTAATTGTACATATATAGGAATACAGTCGCCTTTTAGATTCAAGCTAGAGGGAATTTCCCTTTAGCACAGTGGCAGAGTGTCCGACTAGGAACCTGGAGATTGATGGTTCGATCCCCGGTGGAAGCACACTATTCTTTTTCCTGTTACAAATGGTGTCTGTGGCCCTTCCTGTGGTGACAGGGAGTTAGAACCTGGGTTGTGGTTTGGTTTGGTTTAGTATTGTTTAACGTCCTATCAACAGCTATGGTCATTTAAGGACGGCCTCCCCTGTGTGCAAGATGCATGCCTGTAGTGTATGCATGTGTGTTTTGAGAGGCTGCAATATGTTCGTATTTGTCTCCATGTGATAGCGCGGAACTGATGCTGACTTTATAGTGCGACCTCACTGAAACATACTGCCAAGGACACCCAGCAGGACAGCCCACCCGGTCACATTATACTGACAATGGGCAAACCAGTCATCCCACTCCTAAATTGCTGAGCATTAAGCAGGAGTAGAAACTACCATTTTTGCAGACTCTGGTATGTCTTGGCCAGGGGACAGAACCAAAAGCCTTCCACACAGGGGTGAACGCTCAACTAAAGGCCAAAAGTGAGGCATTGTCAAAGGAGACATTAGAAAAAAAAAGTTGTTCAGAAAGAAGAGAAAAGATAAATCCCAAAAGTCGCCTCTTACGATCATACAATGGGGGCAGCAGGTACAATTCTTACGCCATACCTGCAGGGACCACCTCGTGTGTGGTGTTCGAGGGCAAACACATTTAAAAAGGGGGGAGTAGTAGTGTGGCAGATTTAAATTGTACATAGGGTTAACGTTATGGTCACTTTCAAGCTTCGAGCTAGAGGGAATTTCCCTTTAGCTCAGTGGTAGAGTGTCCGACTAGAAATCTAGGGATTGAGGGTTTGAATCCTGGTGGAAGCACGCTATTCTCTTTCATGTTACTCTCTTGTTTAAAACAAAAAAATGCTCTCTTGGTTGATCAATCTAATCTCTTGCAGCTTCTGTAGTCCTTTGGATAATTGTGTGATTAACCATAAAAGTGAGATCCTTATGTGTAACCCAATGACTGACAGTATGGCTATGTATGGTAATGGGCGAAATCAAATACATTGACCATATTATCACTATATTGATATATTGATGTAACCGACAGCGGGATACTGATGCCAGTGCCATGTGGGTAATAATCCTGCTTTTGGTTAACCGAGTTCTTTTAACACTTGGAGCAAAAAAGGATGACCCTGTGAACACAAGTGCCAAAACGTCCTATTGCAGAACAAAATACATTTTTATGCAAGTCCTGTGTGTGCCTTTTTTTATATAATTTACGAAACATCTCGTATTGAGTTGTCCTAAACAATGTTTGCATTTATTCATATCCGTAACAAATAAATGTTATAAAACTGAAGTACTTGAAACTTTCTCACCCCCACCTACTTTATAAACTAAAATTCTATGGTATACAGAACAACACACTTAACTGGATTTCTTCATTTCTATCCAACAGAACACAGTCAGTATTAAATGGTAAAAAATCATCTACAGTCCCTGTAACTTCAGGTGTCCCCCAGGGTACGGTCCTCGGACCTATCCTGTTTCTCATTCATATTAATGATCTTTCAGAATATATCAAATTCAGCACTCTACGCCTCTTCGCTGATACCAGCATCATTTATAAAACCATAAAAACACAAGATGATGTTGAGAAATTACAATCAGATCTGAGTGCCACTGGTAAATGGGAAAAAGATTGGCTAATGAGGTTCCATCCTGATAAATGCACAGTACTAAAAGTTCTTAACAGACGTCAAAGTAAATTTACTTCAAATTATCAACTTCATGGTCACACTCTAGAAATTACTGATTCGGCAAAATACCTTGGCGTCACGTTACTATAATCAAACCTAAAATGGGAGAAGAACATAAATTTAATGACCACTTAAGCTAACCAGTCCTTGGGTTTTCTTCGCCGAAACTTAAAAATAAATTCCTCCAAAGTAAAAAATCATGCCTATAAAACCCTTGTCCGTCCAAAACTTGAATACTGCTCACCTGTCTGGGACCCACATAACAACAACCAAATCAACCAAATTGAAAAAGTCCAACGACGCACTGCACGGTTTGTCTGCAACGTACAGATATGATAACACCAGCTCTGTAACTGAAATGAAGGAAACACTACATTGCCCTCCCCTTTACACTCGCAGATTATACTTCAGACTGGTCATGTTTTACAAAATTTTGAATAATGTAGTAGCAATTTATCCAACAAACCTTTTAATACCAGCTGACAGTAGAACCAGATCCAGCCACCACAATCCTCATGCCTTCAAACACATACAGACCACAAAAGATACGCATAAATTTTCCTTCTATCCTCACACCATCAGTCAATGAAATCATCTCCCTCATTCAGCCGTATCATCTGACACAGTGGAAGCATTCAAGTCTGCTATCCCTGTGTCATACCTGTTTTCAACATTCTAAATTTGTACCCTGTCAATAGTTTTATCTATATAGGTTAAATTATCTATATATGTTAAAAATCTAAAAAATAACCCTTATTCCTTTGTACATTTCCCAGCGCATAGCATGTAATCTTCAGTTTATGGGAAGGATTGCTATTATCCACAAGAAGAAGAAGAAGAAGAAGAAGAAGAAGAAGAAGAAGGAAAAAAAAAAAGAAGAAGAAATGGCTGCGGTCGGTGCTGAAGTTATTTGGGACGAAACGTCTGGTACCATATTTCATAACACCTTCTGCCAGGTGATCTTACTTGCATTTACAATAACCAAATAATCAACCTGTTACGTAAAACTCACCTGTCTCGAAGGTTTGATGTCCGGAATCTTACTTTCACGTACATCATGCACCGTTGTGTTGCGGAAACCAACCCCTATACCAACAGCAGTGGCTGTCAGAACACCGATACCAATGATTCTGCCCGTCCATTTTGACCTTGGAGATCCAGATGATGTCGAGGCTGAATTGTAGTATCTGGAAGATGCTCGATATCTGAAGATAGTCTTGTCATTTGTCACAGCGTCCGTTACAAATTTTGAATTACCTACCAGACATTTCACATTAAAACTCAGTCTCCCACACGAAGATCTGATGGAGGCTGCCATGTTGTGTTCTAATAGCGGAACCGGAAATAAGATATTTGGCATAGGCTAAGTTAAGGATTTTCATCTCGGATAGTTTCTCGGTGACAGGAAGAACGTTCCAAGTGAATTTAACCTATTTATCTGTAATATTTAAAAGGAATTTCTCCGACTTTTTTAAAATTCCTAATAATAAAGGAACAAACAACATATGATATAGTCATGATTGCTTTAATATCCAGGTGAGTGATTTAGGCCCTCATTGCCTCTTGTTTGTAGGAGGCAGAAGGGAGTGGGCATTATATGTCTAGTAAGCACTTTCTGTCTGAAGGCAAGGCAGAGTTAATTTTCGTCTACAAGCCTCTACAAGGATTTTTGTAGGACATATAATGCCCACTCCCTTTTGCCTCGAATCCTTCTACAAACAAGAGGCATTGAGGGCCTGGATATGAAAGCAATCATGACAGTATTCTCATATTAAAAGTAGTATGACAAATACTATCCTTGGTCCAAGAATAGAGCCAGTCCCCAGTGCGAACCCTGGTAGCTTTTTTTATCCAAACCTTCTTGCTCACCTAATGTATTGTTATAGAGTGGGGATCTGAAATGTTTCTGTATTATGAATTGAGGACTGAATCCCAGAATCGGAGTGTGGTAGCATTCTTTATGCCAAGCAATTGTATATATGGTTATGGGGTGGAGATCTCCATTGTTTCCAAGTTGTGACCCAGTCCATAGGGGTGTGACCTGACCAAATGGTCAATTCTTATATCGTGGTTGTGTTAACTCTTTATTCCCAGCAATTGTGCATATGGTAACGAGGTGGGGATTTTGACTGTTTTAAAGTCACGACCACAGACTTACGCCTCCATCAGGTTTGGGGCCAGACCCCACGGACATCCTGGAACTATATCTGTATTTGTCTCTTTATAATCAGCAACTGCTTAGTGAAAATCTTGATCATGTCAAAGTCACACATCATGTTTTGCCCCACCCATCAGTCCTGGGGGTCAGCCGTTCAACTGGTACAAGTTTGTATCCCAACCACCTGAGAATGCTTCCAACCAAATATGGTTGATATATCTCTTACTTCCAGAAAAGAAGTAATTTAAAGCAATAATGCCACATCATCCTTTTTTGGCCCTGCCCTTCAGCGATTTGCAGGGATGATTCCAGTCATATATGGTTAAATTCCAAGCAACAGTTAAGGAGAAGAAGTTACAGATGGATGGACATTGTGGTTTATCGTTAGCTCACCTTGTTCCTTTGGACCATGTGAGCTAAAAGACAAACACTCCTCTAGTGTTCTGCTCCATGCTCATTGTACAGACCGGCTGTATTTCTTCACCTAAACATATTATGCCCCACCCCAATGCCCCTTCACATAGACAGACTGTGTTCCTTAATCTAGACATTCAATGCACCCTCTCCTTCTGCCCCATGCCCTCTTGTACACCCAAGCTGTGCCCCTCATCTATAGACAGACTGCTTCTTCACCATGATATGTAATGCCCCTACAACCCATGCTCCCTTATTTGTAGACAGACTGTATTTCTTCACCAAGACATGGTATGCCACCCCCTCACTCCACTCCCCATCTACACCAAGCCCTCTCATACAGATAAGCAGTGTTGGATAATATGAAGATCACCAAACCTCGTGCAATGACATGAACAAAGATGAGTCATAACACAACTCAAATACCTCTGTTGATATAATTTTAATTTTGATCAATTAATTCAGACAATACAATGTACCTGTACATTTATTTTTGGTTGATAAGAAGTATACAACATGTATATATAATACACAGACATAATACCAGTGTCTGTAGTACTCTCAGTCCACACAACCACATTGGCCTTGTGTAGCTTTGTATCATTATCATGGGCAGTTTAGTCCACATCTGTCTCGGTCCCATTCATCCACCCCAAGGATGAGTGCAACATAAAGTTAGGTACTCTATGGTAAGTCACAGGGACATGCTGTGATGCACAATGGCAATATATTGGTATCGTATCACAAGGGCCTGTGATTAGCCTACATATCACACATTACTTTCTACATAAGGGGAGAATAGCAAGCATTTGTATAAAATCACGCTCTTATCAGTATATATCTGACATCAATGAAGACTGTCAGACAGTTTATTGCACAACTAACATTGAATGATTTAATTTAGGGTAAACATGTAAGTTACAAATCAATGAAAAGATTAATTACAAAGTTCACAAGAAAAGAGCTCCAGACGAGATTTCACTTCTAAAACAAGTTGCAGGTAGTTAAATTAAATAGAAAACACTTATGGTACAGTAATATACACTACTATGCAGTTAACATAACTGTATAGGGTACACAACCGTAAAGATTCCAAATATCTGATTCATAAGTGCCGGTATATGAAGGATTTGTCAAGTCACATGTTATCTCCCCACACCTCATGACATAGGTACAACAGAGATTAGTGTAGAATTGTTTCCCCACACCTCATAGGGAGGGTACTGCAGAAATGTGTAAAATTATCTCCCCACACCTCATAGGGAGGGTGCTAGAGATTAGTGTAGAATTGTTTCCCCACACCTCATAGGGAGGATACTGTAGAGATGTGTAAAATTATCTCCCCACACCTCACAGGGAGGGTGCTACAGAGATTTGTGTAAAATTACCGCCCCATACCTCAAAGTGCTACAGAGATTTTTTTGTAAAATTCTCTCTCCTCACTTCACAGGCAGGGTGCTACAGAGATTTGTGTAGAATTCTCACCCTGCACTTCACAGGGAGGGTGCTTCAGAGATTTGTGAAAGATAATCTCACACTTCACAGGGAGGGTACTACAGAGATGTGTAGAATTTTCTTCCCACACATCACTGAAATAATGCTACAGAACGCAGTGACCCAGTGTCAGAATTTAGGATTTTCTTTTATCCTAGCACCATTATCCATTTTCTTTCTTTACATTTTCACTATAGGGCTATAATAATCTGGCACTGAGAGGTAAGTGTAGAGAATAAAAGTAACTTAGTGACAAAACAGCAGCAGCTAGTCAATATTTCTAGATGAGGGAAGAAGACTTCTAAAAATGCCTGACATCACATCGGTGTGACAGGAGGAATGAAATGACATCAGAGAATATAATGTTTTCTAGTGTCCAAAACTATTTTGTCACTTGTAGCTTTGTGTGTAGCCCTGGGTTGGTTTAGGGTACCCAGCCCCATAGCCTTGTCCTGTCCCACGGGCGTAGGGATTTGAAGGGCTTGCTGATCCAGGAGTCCCAGAGGGAGAGCTGGTGGGGGCTCCTGAGGGTTGTGGCTGACCAGTGTAGCTCTGGTATCCTCCCTGAAATATAGAAAGATATCAATACATATTATATGAATGCTAAAGGATGCAATACCTTCACAATCAGCCTCTAATTACAGACCTTCACAGTCAGCCTCCATGAACACTGACCATCGATTTCACTGTCAGCCTCCAGGATGACAGACCTTCACTGTCAGCCTCCAGGATGACTGACCTTCACTGTCAGCCTCCAGGATGACTGACCTTCACAGTCAGCCTCCAGGATGACAGACCTTCACTGTTAGCCTCCAGGATGACTGACCTTCACTGTCAGCCTCCAGGATGACAGACCTTCACTGTCAGCCTCCAGGATGACTGACCTTCACTGTCAGCCTCCAGGATGACTGACCTTCACAGTCAGCCTCCAGGATGACTGACCTTCACTGTCAGCCTCCAGGATGACTGACCTTCACTGTCAGCCTCCAGGATGACTGACCTTCACTGTCAGCCTCCAGGATGACTGACCTTCACTGTCAGCCTCCAGGATGACTGACCTTCACTGTCAGCCTCCAGGATGACTGACCTTCACTGTCAGCCTCCAGGATGACTGACCTTCACTGTCAGCCTCCAGGATGACTGACCTTCACTGTCAGCCTCCAGGATGACTGACCTTCACTGTCAGCCTCCAGGATGACTGACCTTCACTGTCAGCCTCCAGGATGACTGACCTTCACTGTCAGCCTCCAGGATGACTGACCTTCACTGTCAGCCTCCAGGATGACTGACCTTCACTGTCAGCCTCCAGGATGACTGACCTTCACTGTCAGCCTCCAGGATGACTGACCTTCACTGTCAGCCTCCAGGATGACTGACCTTCACAGTCAGCCTCCAGGATGACAGACCTTCACTGTCAGCCTCCAGGATGACTGACCTTCACTGTCAGCCTCCAGGATGACTGACCTTCACAGTCAGCCTCCAGGATGACTGACCTTCACTGTCAGCCTCCAGGATGACTGACCTTCACTGTCAGCCTCCAGGATGACTGACCTTCACTGTCAGCCTCCAGGATGACTGACCTTCACTGTCAGCCTCCAGGATGACTGACCTTCACTGTCAGCCTCCAGGATGACTGACCTTCACTGTCAGCCTCCAGGATGACTGACCTTCACTGTCAGCCTCCAGGATGACTGACCTTCACTGTCAGCCTCCAGGATGACTGACCTTCACTGTCAGCCTCCAGGATGACTGACCTTCACTGTCAGCCTCCAGGATGACTGACCTTCACTGTCAGCCTCCAGGATGACTGACCTTCACTGTCAGCCTCCAGGATGACTGACCTTCACTGTCAGCCTCCAGGATGACTGACCTTCACTGTCAGCCTCCAGGATGACTGACCTTCACTGTCAGCCTCCAGGATGACTGACCTTCACTGTCAGCCTCCAGGATGACTGACCTTCACTGTCAGCCTCCAGGATGACTGACCTTCACTGTCAGCCTCCAGGATGACTGACCTTCACTGTCAGCCTCCAGGATGACTGACCTTCACTGTCAGCCTCCAGGATGACTGACCTTCACTGTCAGCCTCCAGGATGACTGACCTTCACTGTCAGCCTCCAGGATGACTGACCTTCACTGTCAGCCTCCAGGATGACTGACCTTCACTGTCAGCCTCCAGGATGACTGACCTTCACTGTCAGCCTCCAGGATGACTGACCTTCACTGTCAGCCTCCAGGATGACTGACCTTCACTGTCAGCCTCCAGGATGACTGACCTTCACTGTCAGCCTCCAGGATGACTGACCTTCACTGTCAGCCTCCAGGATGACTGACCTTCACTGTCAGCCTCCAGGATGACTGACCTTCACTGTCAGCCTCCAGGATGACTGACCTTCACTGTCAGCCTCCAGGATGACTGACCTTCACTGTCAGCCTCCAGGATGACTGACCTTCACTGTCAGCCTCCAGGATGACTGACCTTCACTGTCAGCCTCCAGGATGACTGACCTTCACTGTCAGCCTCCAGGATGACTGACCTTCACTGTCAGCCTCCAGGATGACTGACCTTCACTGTCAGCCTCCAGGATGACTGACCTTCACTGTCAGCCTCCAGGATGACTGACCTTCACTGTCAGCCTCCAGGATGACTGACCTTCACTGTCAGCCTCCAGGATGACTGACCTTCACTGTCAGCCTCCAGGATGACTGACCTTCACTGTCAGCCTCCAGGATGACTGACCTTCACTGTCAGCCTCCAGGATGACTGACCTTCACTGTCAGCCTCCAGGATGACTGACCTTCACTGTCAGCCTCCAGGATGACAGACCTTCACTGTCAGCCTCCAGGATGACTGACCTTCACTGTCAGCCTCCAGGATGACTGACCTTCACTGTCACCCTCCAGGATGACTGACCTTCACTGTCACCCTCCAGGATGACAGACCTTCACTGTCAGCCTACAGGATGACTGACCTTCACTGTCAGCCTCCAGGATGACAGACCTGCAATGTCAGCCTCCAGGATGACAGACCTTCGCAGTCAGCCTCCAGGATGACAGACCTTCACTGTCAGCCTCAAGAATGACTGACCTTCAGTCAGCCTCCAGGATGACTGACCTTCACTGTCAGCCTCCAGGATGACTGACCTTCACTGTAAGCCTCCAGGATGACTGACCTTCACAGTCAGCCTCCAGGATGACAGACCTTCACAGTCAGCCTCCAGGATGACAGACCTTCACTGTCAGCCTCCAGGATGACTGACCTTCACTGTCAGCCTCCAGGATGACAAACCTTCACTGTCAGCCTCCAGGATGACTGACCTTCACTCTCAGCCTCCAGGATGACAAACCTTCACTGTCAGCCTCCAGGATGACAGACCTTCACTGTCAGCCTCCAGGATGACTGACCTTCACTGTCAGCCTCCAGGATGACAGCAATAGCAATACACCCCATGTTTAATTGTGTGTGATTAATTCTTTTTGACTTAAAAGCATTAAATTCTGCTCTCAGAAAAGAAAAAGAAAAAATGACCTCATGAAACTGACTAACAGCATATATGTAAAATCATACAATTGGCCATCATAGTTGTACATATATTTTTACTGAACTTACTGGAGTCTGTGTATACCTTGTATAATGTTACTTACTGGAGACTGAGGGAGCAGCTTGTATAATGTTACTTACTGGAGACTGAGGGAGCAGCTTGTATAATGTTACTTACTGGAGACTGAGGGAATACCATGCATAATGTTACTTACTGTAGACTGAGGGAGCACCTTGTATAATGTTACTTACTGTAGACTGAGGGAGCACCTTGGATAATGTTACTTACTGGAGACTAAGGGAGCACCTTGTATAATATTACTCATCGGAGACTGAGGAAATACGTTGTATAATGTTACTTACTGTAGACTGAGGGAGCACCTTGTATAATGTTACTTACTGTAGACTGAGGGAGCACCTTGTTTAATGTTACTAACTGGAGACTGAGGGGGCACGTTGTATAATATTACTTACTGGAGGCTGAGGGGGGACCTTGTATAATGTTAATTTCTGGAGACTATAGAGCACCTTGGATAATATTACTTTCTGCCTGTTGACTATTCAGTATTCTGTATGTTGTTCAGAGAGCTGTGCTGTGTATTATGGGAGGTTGATTCTAAAGAATGCACTGTATACTGTTACTAAAGAATGATGCCACTGAGTTATCTGTATGTGTTGATTTCAGGGAGTGTTCTGGATGTTACTTACCGGAGGTTGATTCCAGGGAGCGCCCTGTGCTTGTGTAGGTGCCATGCCTGGCTGAGGCATGGCCGGCTGATTACCATACTGGTAAGCGTAGGAACTAGACTGGGGTTGTTGGGAGAAGCTTGGTTGGCCGGGAATACCCTGAGCAGGTACCTGTGGAGGCTGCTGAGGGCGTTGTTGTTGTTGTCCAGGTCCCCCAGCTGCGTAACCTACAACACGTCATATGGTTTACACCAATATAGTTAATGTTATGTATCAATTTTACTTATTTTGGTTTACACATGTAAGCTTTCCTGATGAAGTCATTGTTAATGTACATGCAAACCAATGTGTAAAAATGTACTTGGCATACACTTTTTATAAATTGATGATGCATATACCAATGATATGCAGACTTTTAGCACTCTGTGAGTATATGTTGTTTGTAAAAATTTAATGCAGTTTATAGTATATGTTGCTAGTACATACCTGGAGTGGCCTGTGGGTATGTGTTGTTTCCAGGCTGTTGGCTGGGTGCAGAGCTAGGAGATGCTGCTGCAGGGTAGGCTGGCTGAGGGTTTGGGAAGCTTGGTTGTCCAGGATGTTGTTGTTGAGGATTTGGGCCTCCCTGGTACATCTGGTGCTGTGGTGATGGGTTCATGTGTGTCTGGGTGGGGGCCTGGGGAGGTTGGGGTGCCGCAAAGGCTGAACCAGATGTGTTGACATCACTAGTAGCGGGTTGTGATGGTGCTGGTTGTTGTTGCTGTGGTTGTTGTTGTTGTTGTTGTTGTTGTTGTGTCTGTTGTTGAAGAAGCTGTTGAGCCTGTTGTTGGGCCTTCAGCTGGTTACTGGAGGATGAACCAATACTAGATAAACTGTCTGGTGTTCCTGACCTGTCCTGACCTACAAAACCAAAATACACTAAAATGGACTACATTGAAACGTCGTCCCGATATTCAACAGCTTCCAATACAATAAAACAAAATATGTTTGTGTTCTCATGAAACAGAAACTTTATTAACTAAAAGAAAACAATACAAACGAAATCCTTTCAACTTATAGAGCAGCTTTTGAATTATTATTACAAATTATTCAGTGATTATCTGAAAAGGAAAAGAATTTCAATTGAGTTTATTACCGGGCAAACCAAATGATGAGATGACTTTGCTCTGTTGGGATTCATCTGTTGACCGCTGTGAGGAGAGTGGGTCAAACTCCTTTCCCTGCTGGGCATTGACCGGCACTGACCCAGAAGCAGTCACTGTTACTTGACTCCTCCCACTCTCTGTAACCATTGGCTCATCTAAACACAAGCAGTCAGATGTGTCACCATGACAACAATATAATGGCAAGATTTTTGTAATCTCCCTTACTAAGTCTAATTAACATTCAAAATGCTGAAGTGCTGATGAGTCACACAAAAATGTAGAGGTATTTGATATTTATTCTGCAAGTAGTTGATTTTCCTCCAGCTTAGTTTGGCTTGATTTTCACAAATGCTTTCTACTGACAAGTGTCCATGTGTAAATCATCAAACCTTAATCATCAAACTACCCAAATACAACATGTAGCATTGTTATTGAATTATTGGTTGATTAACTAAAAATCAGAACATGCTATGTTTTCAACTCCTATCGATATACTGTATACGATGTGGTATAGGTGTGGATGTTGCTCATCCCTGGGCTATATATTTTTCTACTATTTCAACCAGAAAATGTTGAATTGGGTCATCCTGTGATATCAAGGCGTCATTTTACAACTCAAAACTAGGCCCAATCTTACAGTCCTAGGTGAAAGGAAAATGCCCTAATTATACCAACCTTTGACATTGGCCTCGCCTGAACTAGTTATCTCCCCCTGTGGTTCTAGTCTGTCCAGAAGGTGGTTAACTGTATCACGAACTAGCTGCAGTTCCTTCTTTATTAATTTCACTTCCTCTGTCTCCAATGGTTGAGGTCGTCCATTCACTTCAATTAAAATAAATCATCCAATGGCATTATACACATGTACAATAAGTATAATAGGAAGTAAGTTAAACATGTGACTGACAACTTGTGATTGAAAAACATGTGACTGACAACTTGTGATTGAAAAACATGTGATTGTTTTGATTGAAAAACATGTGATTAAAAAACATGTGACTGACAACTTGTGATTGAAAAACATGTGATTGAAAAACAGTATACCGGTATTCTAAAGACATTAAATAAGTACAATGCAAAAAAGTTCTCTGATAATACAGTCAAGGTTGTATTTAGTGAGGTAAACTATAAGTGACCATAAAAATGGTTATTAAGGCAGGTGACCTCTGAACCAATGTTCTTTAATTTTTAACTTACCAAACCATTTACTTACCAAACAATGTAATTTTTAAGATCCTACTGCACTGGATAGCAAAAGTCAGGTCCGAGTCATCAAATATTGTGATCAGGTCCTTGTCTTAAACAGAAATATAATCCTACATCAGAACACGTACAATGTGCCTTTATGTAGGTAAAAGGTCTGTCACTACCTTAACATAGGACCAAAAGGCACCTTAACAAATTAGAGCATTGATTAGAATCTGTTCTACACACATTGATGTACATTTAAATGTTTTAAGTGAACACATCAATATTTAAGACCGGTAAACTTTTTGTACTTCAGTAATTTGTATTTATTTAAATTTATCTTCTATTTTGAACTATAAATAATAAACAGGAGGACATAATGTTTGTCATCATAAATGATATTGTTCTTTATCAAGATCTTTCATGGCTCTTTACAAAAATCAGTATGGGTAGTCAAACACATTACCCATTACCTGGTACAAATTATATGATGGATACACCTAGATGTACACATTTTATTAGAATTATAGGTAATTTAAACAAGAGGCCCATGGGCCTTAACTGTCACCTGAGTTCTACAGTATTATTTTTGTTGTTGAAATATGAAGTGGAGATAATGATGTCAATCATCCCTACCAAAATTTGAGTAAAAAACGTTAATTTAAGTTTGTCTGGACAATGAGTTGATCATTCCTAGACCGAGTTTCAGTTAATACGGCCTAGTAGAACTTGACTTTAAGTTAGAAATAGTTTTTTAAAAGGGTGACTGTGACAGCCATATTGGATTTCTGATTGACCCCAAAAATAACAACACTTTGTCAGGACCATGAGTAGATCATTCCTACAAGGTTTCAGTTAAATTGGCCCAGAAGAACTTGACTTTAAGTTTGACATGGTTTTTCAAAATGACCGGCCCTGGTGGCCATATTGGATTTCTGATCGACCCGGAAAATAACAAAACTTTGTCAGGACCATGAGTTGATCATTCCTACCAAGTTTCAGTTAAATCGGCCCAGTAGAACTTGACTTTAAGTTTGAAATAGTTTTTCAAAAGGCCGGCCTTGGCAGTCATATTGGATTTCTGATCGACCCGAAAAATAACAACATTTGTTTAGAGAGTTGTCAGTAACATTCCCATGAAGTATCAATGAAATCCCTCTGACAGTATTTCAGCTTAAGTTGAAAATGTAAAATGTTAACGGACGCTCACGACGACGGACGACGGACGAAGACGGATAGCAATAGGTCACTTGAGCTAAAGCTCAGGTGACCTAAAAATACAACCAGTTTGTGTAATTAGTAAGTCTACCAGCATCAGCATTGATCTTATTAGTGCATGTTACTGTAGCCTAGTTAGTGTTAATAACTCTTTTAAAAACATGGAGTCCCAAGCAGCTAATAAATAATATATCATATAGAAATTATCTATATCATGACTGAGTATTTGAAATCCTCTACAACGGTTTACTTCAATTTCATTAGAAGACAATATCAATGTGGCCAGAGAGCCTTGTCCAGATGTTGATGATGGCCACAGAGCCTTGTCCAGATGTTGATGATGGCCAAACAGCCTTGTCCAGATTATTATGATGGCCACAGAGCCTTGTCCAGATGTTGATGATGGTCAAACAGCCTTGTCCAGATTTTGATGATGGCCACAGAGCCTTGTCCAGATGTTGATGATGGCCAAAGAGCCTTGTCCAGATTTTGATGATGGCCACAGAGCCTTGTCCAGATTTTGATGATGGCCACCACAGAGCCTTGTCCAGATTTTTATGATGGTCACAGAGCCATGTCCAGATTTTGATGATGGCCACAGAGCCTTGTCCAGATTTTGATGATGGCCATTTCTTGTTTATGAATTTGAAATTTGGCTCCAGTTCTTTGTTTACCTGTTTCCTTTACATTTGAATGGCCTACTCACTACTTACCCTCATCTCTGTATTTGATAGTGATGTCATCAGTGCTGGAGAGCCTGCCCCGGTACACTCTCTGCATCATGAGTAGTAACTCGTCATAGGTGATATCCTCATTGTGTATGGGGATCCTCCGTATATCCTCACCCAACTGAACTTTTATTATCAGCTTCCCACTTAAGTCCATTTTTAAAGATTATCACCAGCCTTTAACATTGAAACAAAACACAACTTTAGGACAAGACATGTATATATACAAAGAATGCACACAGTAGTGCCAGTGATTACATACTTGCTATATATGTATCTGAGACTGTCAGAAGGTTGTTATAGTACTATAAGAGGTCCCATAACAAACGTTTTGCTTTAACTTAATTTAAAGTGAAGTGCATTCATGATAGGCAGGTGTGTACTGTCACATATAAATATATTATGCGTCTATTGATGTTATACTATGGGTTAATTGATGTTATATTATGGGTCTATTGATGTTATATTATGGGTCTAATGATGTTATATTATGGATCTATTGATGTTATATTATGGGTCTATTGATGTTATATTATGAGTCTATTGATGTTATATTATGGGTCTATTGATGTTATACTATGGGTCTATCGATGTTATATTATGGGTCTATTGATGTTATACTATGGGTCTATTGATGTTATATTATGGGTCTATTGATGTTATATTCTGGGTATATTGATGTTATATTTTGGGTCTATTGATGTTATATTCTGGGTCTATTGATGTTATATTCTGGGTCTATTGATGTTATATTCTGGGTCTATTGATGTTATATTATGGGTCTATTGATGTTATATTTTGGGTCTATGGGTTAAGTTTTTGATTCAGATGTAAGTTTGATGCAGTTAAACCCATGGTTGGTCTATGTTGGCAGTCAAGTGTAACAGCTAATGTATATGAGGGGAAAATACTGACTTACTGGCAAGCTAGCTTTCCAGTCATGCGGTATAACCTGGGGACCCGCTCACTAATTCAGCAATACCTAGTGTGGTTAGTAGTTGGAAGGGTGACCTCCCGCATATAGTACACAAATTTATAGCTATCAAAGGAAGTTGATTTTATGTCATGTATGACTGTATGGACAGTTCCACAGACCAACCATAAATCAAAATGGATGTGGCCATGCAAAGCCATTAAAATTAAGTCATATATATTTTAACAGATTGTGAAAGTGAAGCTAAGTTACTTGGATTTATAAATGAACTTAACATGACATAACACTATAATATTATGTGGTTAAAAAATGAGCTAAACATGTTATAAACATTGTAAATGAAAAGCTGTATAATGTACATAAAATGTCTATTATTTTTCAACACAATGCTAAGTATTTTGAAAGTTAATTTATTCAACACGGTCATGATTACATGACCCCTGGTTTTACATTCATATGCCTGTTAAAGATGTTATAAAAGCATTTTTCTTTATGATGTTGTGGTTTCTGAAAGCCACAACCATCTTGGTTGAAGCCGGAATATATATGCTGAGGTCATTCAATCAACCTTGATCATGACATTTTGTAATTTCAGGAGTCAAATTTCCCTTCTAACTTCTACTTCTAAATGGTAATGACTAACTTCAACAAGTTGAAGATAATGTCATGAGGGAGAAAGAGATTTAGTCGATTCCAAGAAAGCCAAAATGATATATACATGTATATAGATTTAATTTTGAGGGTACAGTGACAGGAGAGCAGATTTAAAAGATTCAGTAGTAGAACAGGAGGATATGATATCTGGTGGGATCTTATTCCACTCAGGTATTGATCATGGAAAGAAGAATTGTTTTCAAACAGACTTCAAAAGGCTAACAGAACTGCAGAACCCCACTATACAAGATCTAGTGAATACAATTTTTATATTCCAAATGTGAGCGGGGCAGAATCTACCACGTTTTATTACAATGCTGCTAAAGATTGGAATTCTGTACCAGAAAGTATCATGAAGATAAAGAGTAAATCATCATTCAAAGTTGCTATCAAAAAACATCTTTTTGAAAAACTGAAAAGAGAACAGGATCAGGTATTTGTATTTTATTGACGTAATATGTTCTATACACATGTTTGTGTATGTGTGTATGTGAATATGTGAGTGTGTACACAATATGGGTGCTGTACTTCAATGCAATGTGTTTTAAGTTACAACCTAAAATTAAGTTATCTTCAAATATAATAACTATAGTAATTTTTACTGAAGTAGTGTTTATGTGTCTTTTAATGGACCCCAGTGGAAATAAGCTTCAGGGCTTTCTGGGTAATCCTGGTTTTAAGGGCAACACATATTTTAGTTATTTTATTTTTCGTACGAATAACCGTTACCTACCTTGTTATTTATAAAATTGTGATAACTTTTCTTTTAGAGACTTAAATAATTTGACATTAATATGTTTTATAATATAATCAGCCATATAAATTATTAGTGCCAAAACATATATTAGGTACAGTATGAAATTGTTATGTTGTACCTTTTTACCAAATAAACTTCAATTGAATTGACCTGGGTTCTGCAGTGTGGTATTTGGAAGGATTGGTGATGGGCATGCCTTGATTGCCTGGTTGCTGGTTTAAGTCTAGTGTGTTTACTAATAGCTACCTGATTGTTTAGTTTACAATTTGAACATCATACATTGGCTTGTGTCTATGCGTCTGTCGGCAAGGGATCGCCATTTAAGATGGTTCAACATATCGGAGACACTGGATGTTCTATGAGTGTAGATCTAGACGTTTTTGTTTAGTACATAACGAGCAGCCCTGCGTTGTACCATTTCAATCTTATTGATGTTATCCTGGGTGTATGGGTCCCAAACAGGACAGGCATACTCTAGGGATGGACGGACTGATGATTTGTATGCCTGTGCCTTAACTGATGTTGAACCTATTTTTAAATTTCGACGGAAGAAGCCAAGTGTGGAATTTTCTATGTTGATAATATTATTTATGTGGGAGTCCCATTTTAAGTTAGATTGGATTGTAACACCCAGTATTTTGCTTGGTCTATGTGTTCTAGTGTATGCCCATGGAGGATGTAATTATGGATAATGGGGTTTCCCCTTGTTCACAGACAACACATTACACTTGCTCGGGTGGAAGGCCATCTTCCATGTCTTTTCCCAGAGCGCTAGTTTGTCCAAGTCTTGCTGTAGAGTTTCAGCATAACTGTTAGACTTGACAGCTAGATAAGCGATAGTGTCGTCTGCAAACAAGCGGATGGTAGCGTTTAGGCCCACAGGGATGTCGTTAATGAAATAAAGGAATAAACTTGGTCCCTTAAATTTGGAGCGTCAAATAGACAGGTTTTTTCAAATTCAATAAATAGTCAAACTAATTTTTGGGAGTCAAAAACATACTCTCAACGCCCTTGTGCTTCTCTACAGCTAGAAAAAGAGATATCAAATTCCCCATTTAGATCATAACTTATGCCACATCGCAAAAGAGATTGACATGTTATAACGTCGGTAAACTATATCGGCCTATTTATGACGACATGGGCCTTAATCTGCTAATGCCTTATTGCAGACTAAGTTACATCGCTTTTTACCTTTTCAATAACTAATGTACAAGTTCAATATATCCTAATTAAATATCTGAATTCCGGTTTAACTTATCATGATTCATGGGTTGAAGTTTTGGGTGACGAGGCTTGGACATGAAAGGACACGTACTATCGGTCAATCATTTATAGAAAACGAATTAAAAATATGTTCTAGCATTTACGAGGGAAGTAATTATCTACTTGAACATACTAAACACAGCGTATTTACTTAAACTACCACATTTCTTACCGGTTTCACTAAGAAGGCCTGAAAATCGCAGACAGATGTGGCGAGGTCGCTTACAGCAAATAGAAAAATAATAATAAATAATGTCTAATGCTTTCTTCTTCGGGAAATAGTAGATAAAAAATACTGAAGAAAAGTAAAGTGTCATTTAAATGAATTAAAATGATAAGATGAATTAAAAATAATGGCTATATCAATTTATTTTGCAACATCTTAGGGAGTGTTCAATTTGGGTAAGATGTAAAATAAAAAACAGAGCTGTCCGTATTATCAGGAATTTTCGTCACGTCATCTAATATTCTTTTATAGTCTAGTATCCACACCAGCTATTGCTGGGGGGGGTTTAAAGAGGGAAATTAAAAGCTCAAGATCGGTACTTTCCCTCATTGTAAGCCAAAAAATGTCTTTTAAGAATTTACAAAATGTACCAGGTTATCGCCCCCC